GAAGTATCCATATTACTCCATTCCAATGTTGATACCTCGTTTAGCCATATACCGACAAACCACAATGACTGAATGCACCAAATATGGTTGCATGGATACCATAGAATACATCAAGCTTCCTATTGAACTATACGTTAACCTTCTCAAGGATGTAGGTATGAATTTACTTTGCGGGAGGCAAATTTTTTTAAAAAGTTCATAAAATCGAATGAAAGAAAAAAGGTTATAATATAACAATACCTATTAAACACTCGTGTCCAATGAGGTTTTATATCATAACATTCATGGATAATGGAATCTACATCTAATTTTATGGTAAATTCTTATTCAATGTACAGTGTAGTAAAATCAGCAAGAAAATTGTCATTCATGTTTTTACGAATTGCGATATTCACATTTTTCATTTTCTTCCATTTTAAAATGTAAATGCACAAAAAATCAAAACGCTTAATTATCCATACAATCCGAAAAAATTCGCTGGTAAAATTTTAATCTAAGATATCAATTGAAAAAAATAATAAGTAAAATTTTAATTAAGGGAGAATACAAAACTATCATATAATACAAATTGTTAAACTGCCAAAACAATTGATTATTTTCATAAGAGATGCATAATGATTCAATTTTATACGTTGGTCGAGTCAACTTGTTGGAATTGGATGAATATCACTTTTATGTGCAGAAAGGATTAACCGAGCTCAACTTATGAACTAAAGCCCTTGAACTCAGCGATGTCGTAGGCAAATTCCATCATTTAAGATGTCAAGTTGGCACTTTTATTATTCAAGCGGAGATTATTTTTATATACTTATTGACGATAATTTATTGTCTTGTTTAGCTGAATAGGAGATTATTTATTTAAATTACTTTTCTTAGAATTTGTCTTTATTTACTTTCCTTTAACAAATAAAATTATGGTTCATTCCTTGCGAATCAACGAATATTTGATGGAAAAAATTCTCAATTTCAATTAAATCAACGAGTGTTTGGACTTTGGAGTGTTAATCATCTTCCACATTATTTCGTTGCATAATTTTTGTCTTACAGCATAAACACATTCATGATAGAGGCAGATTGATGTTCAAAAAACCTAAAACGTGGTGAGTTAACATGCACAACTACGTCTACAACTGATGACGTTAGAACAACTAATAAGATGAAAAAACTACATTGACAAATTGAGGTGTTGAAGTAGGAGATTGATGATTTTCTATAATGATGGTCTAAGCGTCTTAAGGGTGTAGTGGAGGAGGAATCCGATGGTGATAATAACATATTTTCTTCCTTCAATCCCGATGTATAGAATAATGATTTAGATAAGGATTACGCTAGCACTCTTATTTTTTACCCGATAGTTCTCGAGGATGTTCAAGGATATGGAGGAAAAGATAGTAACAATGAATAAAGGCAAGGATTGTGATGGCACATCTATTTTTTACCTAGCGGTGGACGAGGATGTTCAAGAATATTATATTGAGGAAAAAATAATAAAGGTGAATATGACGATGTGCTTATATTAGCAATATGGCTTTCTAACATGCATTTGTGGATTGTTTTACCGTTTAAGTACACCGTTCACATTGATTTGGCAACTATTGTTGAACAATTTGATGATTTAGATGTGCAGTGATTATCGAGGGACAAGAGCTTGCATTGCAAGATTAGAGGGTGAATAT